ACCTGCAAGTAGGACCACACACTGTAATCCAATGGATTCAAATCAGAACTACTAGCAGGCCATTCTTCTGGGGAAATAAAATCTGGAAAGTGAGTTCTGCAGAAGTCGATGGTGGATTTTGCCTTGTGAGCTCGTGCTGAGTCCTGCTGGAATGTCCAAGGCTGGGATTTGAAATGTTCCTGAGTCACTATGTATGCACAAGAACTTTTGAGACACCCTAGTATAGTCCGAATTTCCAGGAAGCCATGATGGTGAACAACGATTTCCATGTGCTCTTCGTGCTACAAGGAAGAGGTTTACGAAAATATTCGATAAGTCGTAACCTTACGAAAGTGAAAAGCGTCGATGGCACAGTCTCCCCGGGAGACCAATAACCGTGGTCGATGATGCTATCTGACGACACCTTTAACAATAGTGCAGCTAGGATTTTTGGATGGTGCAGAAATGAAGCCCACAGATTGATGTCGCTGGGAAAAGTTGGTTTTTCCCATAGGAATCGACGGTTCGCGCTCCTCTTTCCCAGCAGCCCTCCTTTCTCTCTGTAACCATGAACGGGATCTCTGTTTCCATGCTTTTCTGGAAAGAATGACCACGTTCGTTATTGAACTCTCCTGTCCAGGCTCTCATTTTGATGAGTCGTTCAGTCACGGTTCCATGCCCTTGCCGGATCACGCGTTTTTTTTTTATTGCATTCAGTGAGCGTAGTGGGATTTGAAGGTCATTGTTCCTCCTGTCTCTATCGTAAGTTTTTTTCCTTTGTTCTGTCTTTCAGAACAGCGTTTTAAGCCACAATAGGGCGTCACATATGCAGTATATGCTACTTTCACGGTGGACCTGAAGTGCTCTGATGGTTACCTCGTTATTGCATAGGCGAAAGTCGTATTGTCGAGCTGCATACGTCGATAATAATTCTTTATCTAAAAATAATTATTGAATTACTCAATGCTTTTCTTCTTTTTTTCTAGCTCATTTGAACGTCCCTCATCGCCCTCTAGATGCATGTGTAGTAACTGTTACTGTATGAGCACGTATAATGTAATCAGTATGGTTTCTATTTAAAAAAATGTATGGGCTATGAGGGTAATATTTCAGGTTATCTTCTAGTCCTGGTCCACCGTTAAGTGGCTTCCGGATTATGACTAGAAGCCGCTTCACTTTCCGCTTCCACGAATGAATTCCTGCAGAGTTTCAAAAGTTAAAGGAGGTGGAGGATGAAGGATGAGACTCTTCAGTTAGCCTTGACCCATTTCAAACTTATTTTGTTCCTTTATTCTGCATACATACCTGGCGAACACGAAATTTCAAGAGATGCAAGTCATCGTCTTCTCCTGAATAATTTGAAAAGATGGCAATGATGCAACTGGTCCCTCCTTTCGTATTTCGGTCCAAGTGTTACGATATCCAGAAGTCTTTGCAAAATACTTGGGAATGCTACATAATCATAATGCGGCTTATATGGCTGAAGTACCAGTACCGTTGGCTGCTTATGTATGAGAATCACTTCTGATATAATGAAAGAGACCTATAAAACTCAAATGCACTCCTTTTCTCGTTTCAAATTTCCCTACGGGTGCCGTGCTACTAGCTGTGGATGTATTTCCTTCGTTGTTGTCACATGTATGGAAATACTGGCAATCAATGGTACTCCTGGGGAGCCATTCTCGTACGCTCTCTAATTTTCAATCAGTTATTCTCCAAGTTTGGTTTTCGCATGGAATCACTGATGGGAATGGCATGATTCCAAAACGGAACCAATGAAAGCGGAGGCCACAGTCAGGAATTCTGTTCGAGAAACTAATGAGGAAATTAATTAGCATTTTGTAATGAAAAAATCGGATTGTCTTTAATGTTTTTGGGATCATATGGTTATTATTATTCTTTACTTTTGTGGGGTTTGACGAATTTATTTTTTGGTGAGACATTTTTTTTCTTATGTATATAATTTTTGGAATTTGAGGGGCTCTACCGACGTAATCAACAGCTGCCTTTTTGCATTAATATCTGTACGGTTCTGGGGAGCGGCATTCACCCCACTGGTCCTGTAACTGGTTCAAACCTGCTTTGTTTAGGTCTCCATCTACAGGGGCCTATTCCACAAAAGATTTACAAGTTGCAAGCTACATGTTACAAGTAGTTGCAAAGGTCGTGTCTTCTTTTTCAACTCTTCTAGTGGGTCCCGTTGACACTTGACGCGATCAAAGCACGACCCTTGCAACTACTTGTAGCTTGTAACTTGTAAATCTTCTGTGGAATAGGCCCCTGGACGTGCTTTTTCCCGTAGGGAAGTATTGTAGCCTGAAATCTAATTGAAGCATTAATTGCATTGTTTCATTATCGTTTTATTTATTTATGTTCCTGTGTATGCGGAGCACTCATCTTTTAATACCATTTGCCGTGCGACTTGGAAGGGTGGGAAGAGAGATTGAATGGCGCGATCATTTCTAAATCTGGAGCAGGACGAAGGGGGTGACGGGGACGGTGACGGTGAACGGGAGGGCGAGGAATCTGGGGAAATTCCGAAAGCTCTCGGCGTACATCACCCAGGAGGACCACCTGATGGAGTGCTTGAGCGTGGGCGAGTCCATGGCCATGGCTGCCAACCTAAAGCTCCCTACCACCTTGTCCCAGCAGGAGAAGGCGACGGTCGTAAGTCCATTTCTGCCTTCCCTTTCTCAGGTGGGCTGGTCGTTATAGCTGTTACTCGGGTCACGAGGTCCTCATTTCACAATTTTCCTCTAGTCATCAAGTGCCGGAATAGCAACGCTTTCTTCAACGGTATTGCTCTTCCGGCTTCTATCTCCCTATCCCGTCATTCATCCATTTGTTTTGATAGTAATTTAATCGTCTAGAGCAGGGGTGCACAACTCAAAAGACTGTGAGGGCCAATTGCTACTTTTACTCGCATACCGCGGGCCGCAGTTTGGCTGACCATAGCTGTAGCCAACAGGGCAGGAGCCATAGTAGTAGTTATAACGACACCAGTCATGGCGGGCCGCAAGCAGGGACCTCGCGGGCCGCATGTTGTGGTCTAGAGATTCCCTTTTTAATTCTGGGCCTTATTCCCAAGAGAGATAGAAGCCAAATTGGACCCCCATGGGCTCAAAATGGGTATTATGAGCATAAAAGTTATCCAGTATCTAACTCATATGGTCCAGGCACGCGAACGCTGTTGGATATGCAGAAAGCTCCGAAGACTCGAAGTGTATCTAGAGGGCAGTTTCGTATTCTCTAGTCCAAGTCTTTGGTAATATGAATACACTTGGCAAATCAAGTCACTCTTCGCGACAGCTGGTATCTGGTGATACGTGTGGATCGCCTTTCAATGTGTCCGCTTCAAGGGTCTTTGCGTTTCCATTATCTTTACCTGACGAGAGCTGGAAATATTTCCTTGATCGCCATGAAAGTTAGTACGTAAAACACGCACGAACAAACTTAAGACTGGGATTATTTTTTGGTTAAGTTTCTTTTAAAAGCAAAATTTTTGTCGAAGATAACTTCAAATTTGCGCACCTGTTCGGCAATAAATGTTGGGGAGATTGAGACCGGGAATGGAGTTTCACAATCGCTTTTTTCGGCCTGTACCCTGATCTCGTAATGCCAAAATATGTAATCGAGGAATGAATGGTGGTGGTCGGGATTCACTGTGATTTCGTTCGGTTCGGTGATGAGGGCCCGCTATTAGACTTTGGCCACATCATTTGCTCTTTCATTCTTTTCGTTTTTGAATACTGTATTTTATCGTTCTGATTCATTGCAATTTTTCCTGCATTTCCACTACAATCACAGCTTTGAATATTTTGCTTTGAACTTGAAGGAAGTTTTGTCTGATAAAACATGTGGGTATCGTAGGAACAGTAAAACAGTAAACAAGGCTTGCGCTGACTTGGCCGCTCTGGCGAGTCCAATGGGGGTCGAAGTACAATGATACGGGCGACCCACACGATGTTGCATGGATGAGTGGAACAAAAGAAATCCCATTGCTGGGATAGGGCACTCCCTCGCAAGTCTATGGATAATTCCGAGAAAGGGCCAAGGACGGAGAGGTTGTGTCTTGCATACGAGAGAAGAAGCATTCACCATAAGTGGGAAGAATGCACCTCCTTTCTTCCGTAATAAAGGATCATGAGTCGCGTTCCTTCTCTGTAGGGAGAGAAAAATTTGTATAAATTCGCTGGAGTCTCGTTTCTGTTGCGTGACTACCCTTCCCTGACATTGTAGACTTTTTAAAGTTTGTTGAATTTCACTGCAACGAGCAATTAGTCATAATGGAAGTGGAACAAACACTTACATGTGAAAAGATGATTCACAATGGAAGTTCCTCCTATTGAAAGCCATCCTTGATAGGCCTATGCGTTTAAACTCTTCTGCGTGGCATTACTTCAGTGAAATTAGGATCACAAGACGTAGGTGCACGCAAGCCACACGGCTCACTTCCGACTCGTATTAAAACCATAGTTGCGTGCCAGTCAGTAAATACGGAGTGTTGTTTGGTTGCTATGGTAACAAATTTTAATACAATACTGGGTAAAAGAGCCAAAAATCTAATATCTCTTCGCCTCTTCGGAATTTCACCAAGATCAGCGCCTAAAAGTCCGATAGATTCTAGGTAATACACCCACCCAAAGGTTCTTTGCCAAGAATGTGTGTGTCTCTGTGGAAACTATCAACCACATTATCAATAGATATCTGGGACTACGGAAGAGATTTTAAGGGTATTGACCACAAAATCCTTCCTCGACATTTCCAAGAGCGCAAAAATGATGTCCTAAAGCTGTATGAACCCCATCTTTCGGGAGTGAAGTGGGGAGATGCTGTGACGTTGGATGAAGCTTATATTTGCCCGAGTGGCTGCGTGGAGGATCGGACCATTCATTACGTTCCTTGTGGTGAAACACGTTTTCAAAAGTGCTACTGCGTGGAGTCTCGTGGAGTCTCGTAGAGACTCCACGAAGTTAAGCCATCCTGTTGTCTATGAAAGGATTAGACAGAATAGACCATAGTGAATGCGAGAAAAAGTTTATACAGTTCAGGGTGCCACGATACCTTAACGTAGCCTTTAATAGCCGAACTGCACGATAGAAAAGCCATAAATTATTTATTTTTTAAAGTAAGGTAATCATTTCTACATTTACAAACTTCTAATTCTTAATGTGCGCTCACCACTTCTCTGGCTAACGGCTCGAAGCCAGATGCACAATCATCGTTAGATTAAACTTAATTAGGAAAGTCTTTGCTTCGATGTCTCAAGCGAGTGACGCAGAATCGGCAAATGAGAGGAAATCATGCCTCTCAAAATGTTGGACGGAAATACGATCGATAAAATGTCAGTTTTCACCTTCTAGTAACATTGACGCTATCACAGGCCACAGCTTTAACGTAAAATGAGGTGGCTTTCCATCTGGTTTTGACCATTTTTAGCGTACATAGTCGATGTAAGCTAGGGAGGGGGTTAGGAGAGGGGGTGAGGGAGGCGTGTTAAGACTTCTTTGCACCCGATATATGAAGGGATATGTATAAGAAGTGAGAAGAGCAACCAGTCCCTCTAGATTAGGGGTCTTAAACTCGCGACCCGCAAACCTTGTCAATGGGCCTGCGACCCACCTGCGTACACAGAGAAACTTTTCAAGTCATACACAATGTAAGGTAGTGGTATCTATTCATTCTACGATTTCGCACTTTTGTCCGCAGAGGTCCGATTTTTGGCGACGCGGCCCGCACATCGAAACGAGTTTGAGACCAAATAGGTCACTTATACTGACTTTTTTCCTATGCAATTTTCTGTATTCATTTCCTTTTATGGTTGAACATGAGGTGCTCGCGTCTCTGACGGGAGCACCAGCGGAAGCAAGAGTTTCAGCAGTTATAATCGTTACTTGCATTTTAACGGGCAATTTCATTGCGTTTACTTTGTTAGAAAACTTCTGCTTGCAAAAAGCTTCGTTTGGACTCTTCTTCTCTGAGATGGCCTTTCTGAGAAAGATGTGATGAATGAGTCCGGTTTCCCTATGACTAAGAACTGGGGTCATACGGTACATGGGCCGGAGATAAAACAGACCGCTGCTTTCGTTTATTTGTAGAATTATATATTCTTCATTTGATTCTTTCTGACCCGAATTTTGACGTAGGTGACGGAGATCCTGGAGAATCTGGGCTTGTGCGAATGCGTGAAGACCAGAGCCCGATCTCTATCGGGAGGTCAAAGGAAACGGCTGTGCATCGCCCTCGAACTGGTTAACAATCCTCCCATCATGTTCTTTGATGAACCCACCAGGTTAGACGGGACTCCTTCCATTGTTCATGCTTACTCGATTTTCGTTCAAGGGCATGGGAATCATCGGATCATAGAGTGTTAGGGGAGGAGAAGGAACAAAGAAGGGTAATGCGATATGGGGTTCTCGTTCTCCTGCATGCGGCGTACTCTGCGACTCGTCACACTGAGGCAGGGTTTCTTAGTACGAGTCTTGACTCTGCATGACGATGCCTTTTTTTCCCTTCACTTCCAGCCCACATCATTCGCTTGGTTGCATTAAACCGTAACGCTAAAAGAGAGCAGTAGGGTGAAGTGAGGAAACAGTTACCTGTAAAACCATTGTCGCCCTTTACAGTACGGAAGCAGTTTTACTGGCGAGAGTAATGAAGCAGAAATTGAATCATACTCCCTGAGAACGAATAAGATTCCAGTAGCTGTGACAATTTAAATTAGAAGCAGAGGCAAAGCAAACCCCCATATCACTAACTTTGCTTCGTGGTACTTTACCCTACCAAATGAGGCAATTTTAACACTGCCGAGTATATGTCCTCAAATTGCACTGAAGAGCAAACGGGGTCATAGTATTTATGTCCCATATAGGAGATATGGACTGAAAATGAGACAACAGGAGCTTATAATGCTGAAGCAGCTAGAGTTATTTTCTGCTGTTTTCAAACCATTAGGAATGATTTGAAGGAAAAAGGGAAGAAAATGGAGAAGAAGCTCTCCCTCGTCCAACCATCTTACTTCTCTTTACTTATTTTTTGCTAAAAAAAAATCATTAAAATAATCTCAGGACTGAGCAATCTTGTTTGCCTGGATTGAATACGATTGAATACAATAGAAGCCATCCTAAGAACTTAACAGACTACTTTAGACTCATTAATCATTGCTTAGCTTAAGAGCCTGACTTGACTCAAGACTTGGATCCATATAAACAAAGATAAATTTAGACGTTGTAACGTGTAATTTAGACATGTAACGGCTCGGCAAGGATCGTGATTTTATGAGCCCTAGAAAACCAAAAGAAATCCAAATATTTTCTGATAATATATCAAGCCTTGGAGGATGATCATGATGGTAATCCTCGGGCTGGTACTACAGGGTGGGCCACAAGTCCCCATACCCCTGACTTTATTACGCATCCTAAGCATCTGTATGTGCACCATCATTGTCCCGACATAAGATGCTTCTCCAGGTTCTATGGGACATTTTTCTTAGCATTGCAGGAGTGATTGTTCTGAAAGCTTCACTCACCGCATTCTTCAGTTCATTTGTCGTCTGGTAACGCCTCTTGGACGCAATATCCTTGACGTATCCCCACAATGAATTATCACATGTGCTGAGGTCAGGGCTTCTTGCTAGCCATTTCAGTGATGCTGGAGATGTCGGAGACCCACAAAAAGAACAATTATTGGGGTATAGGGACTTATAGCCCACCCTGTACTGTACAATGTTTTCAGACGAACGAATAGGGGCCTCTTTCATGATATCTGTTCATTTCTTCTTGAAGTTTCTCCTGTTGCCATTTTTTCTTCTCAATTATGTCTTTCTTTGTGAACTTGCCGCAATTTTGTCTCGCTTAAATATTTTTTCAACAAATCTGACCCATAATATTTATATTTAAAATTGTAGAAATTAAATGTACCTTATGTACGAGGTTAGTTATACTCCGTGACTCAGTTTCCATGGGGAATTAGAATCACTGCACGCAACAGATGATGTTACTATTACAAGACGTGAGTAATTTTAAAACAAGATATTGACATACACGTAAAGCCTCAATTGTGAACTCTTTTATGGTTGAATTGAATTTCTTGTTTTAGCTTTGAACTAGACCTGGAATGAAAAAAAAATTGCAGCTGGGAAGTAAAAGTTGAATTCCTAGTCAAACTTTGTAAAACTCCAAATCTATATCAAAGGCAGAAGCCATGAGAAACCTATCTCTTGTACTTTATGAATGAGGAAGCTGTGTTAAAATCACTCCATTGTTACATTTACCTGCTCCATGTCAAAGCATAGTAACGACAAAACATTGACCGGCAGCTCCAGAGGTAGCATTTCAGATCCTAACGACAGTACCAGAAATAACGATATAGATGACGCCGCCGTAGAACGTCCTAACGAGGATATCGACTACTGCTGGCTTTGTAGAAGAAAAAATACAGCTAATGGAGCGGCGTCCGGGCTGATAGACCTAAAGACGATAGCGCTCCCTCACAAGCTTAATCCAGGACTTTCTTGCTACATCGTTTCCTTTCATAGTCGTTTCCCGTTTAGGCCCCTCGCATATTTTCCGATTCCAGGTCTTCTTTGTCCCCTTTGTTCTCACCGGTTGGCCTTACTCAGGATGAGGTTCTTGACGTTTGGTTGGCCACTTAAGGATATCTACGACGCGATACTCATTGGAAGAGAAGGCCTTTTATTGACCTTATCAATGTCTCCCTGCTCATTACCGCTCATACCAACATTCTAAAGATAAAAACCGTTTAATAGACCAATGAAAGGGTTAGTGAGCTAATTTTCAATGATGAAATCGACAGTCCCATTTCTTTGTCGTATCCTTGCGAATTTCGAGACTAGCCAAGTCGGGACCCGATTGAATTTTTCCAATCTTCAGCCAAATTACATTCTTTATTCCGTCACACCTCATGCGTAAATAAAGGGGTAAGGAAATGGGGTAGTGAAATCGTCTAAGAGAGACAGCAAAGGCTCTTAATGCCAACTGTAAACCATGATGAATGGACGTCTTTCGTTATCAGATATCGTTAAAGAGTCCAGAGAACCAGAAGAGTCGCTTGGGTCTCAGATAATAGAGGATTGCGACATGCATGACATTCTTGACGCTGTAGGACTTTCTTGGAACACCTTTTACGCTGGACGCTATGCTGCGTGGGGTTATTTGTATTTCATAGAGGAATTCATGAAAGATGGCTGGCATTTGATTGAAAAATCCTTTAATGGAATTAAAGCATCTACTGCTACTGCTAGGCATCAGATCCGGTTTTGGTTTTGTTTTTCCCAAGCAGACTGCTGTCTGGCTGCGTCTTAATGCGCAGCCACTCTTGCGAAACATGGGGGGGAAAAAAAAAATCCGGAGACCGGAAGCGAGAAAAATTTTATTTCGATGACATAACGTTTTTCTTTCTCCCTGATATATTGGTCATATATTCCGGTGACCATTGCCCATATATCCACAATGAATCATCCATTTTCCCCCCCGAAACGATGAATTCCATCCAGTTGATCCTACGTGACCTTTTATTCAATCTCTTTCCATTATAGACATATCAATGGCTATTGTTCGCCATGAAAGAGAAACATGGTGCTTCCGCAGGGGTCTTTTTTCTTCCTTCCATCATCCATACTAAACGTGCAAGGACTGAGTGGGAACGAAGTCCGCATTCCTGCTCGTCTCTCGGTCTTGGGACAGAAAGAAACGAGAGTCGAGTACTCTCGAATGGACAGGAGATAGTTTTCAAGTCACCCTCGGAATATCGCCTCTGGGTGTATCTGTGTTTCCCAACTACCTCATGACGTTTCCTCACGAAGAGGGACACTCTCTCCCGTCGTCGTCCTTCCTCAGATCGAAATCCCTCTCCAGCTACGATGGAAATAGTCGGAAATAAGCGGAAAAAAGCTATAGTCGGCAAAGCTTACCCAAACCCACGCCTAGTGATCTTCGATCTGGTAAACTACCGAAGGAATTCTTCGGATTTATATGAAAAGTTGATGCCAATACCAGCAGGGTGGTTAAAGTGCCTGCTCTTGTGTTCTTGCGTTATTCGGCAATAATTTGTTAGCTTTTGTAGTAGCGCTGACGCGATTAATGTGCACAAAACCTTCTCATGAAGAGAGTAATTCTAGCCCTGGGGATCCTTTCATTTTAAATTCTTTTTTCTATGCGGCAGCACCGCTGGTGACATGGAGAGAGAAATGGAGAAAGCATAGAATCGATAAGCAGTAAGCATGGTAATCGATAAAGCATTCTATTCTCCCATGAAGAAGGATTCGTTTCAACTTCCATTTACCCGGAGCGTATTCTTCAGACTTCTTTGGCCATTTGTTGGGGAAATGCCCCGAGTCGATAGTGGAGAGAATCTTAGTTATCTCCTATTTTCGCCGTTTTCAAACAATTGAGAACGACGAAATGTATCATAGTCACATGGAGACTTTCTCTGCAGGATGTTTATACACAAATGCCTCAAGTGGGTGGAAACGAATGAATTGAAAAGGGAAGAAAGAGGAGTTTGAAAAAATGCGTCAGACGAGTGGTGCACTCATGTAGTTGGACTTGAGAAGTCAAGAATCTGGTGGAAGAGGTAAGACTGGAACGGAAGAACAGCGAGGTCGAATGCGCTGTAGGGAGAGGTTGGATCCACGAGACTCATAATTTACTTTTGGGCCTGGTTAAGATAAAGATTTTAAGTGACTCTCTTGAACTAAGAGGTATAGATAGCTCTGGGTTAATGTTTCACCTGTTGCACCGCGGACTTGTTTCGATACCTGAGGTTTATGTCATTTCGCCAGTTTGTCCGGTCTCGATAGTAGAAACTACCAGTGCGGAAGGATTTCCTTGAAACGCTTTGCCGTGCCGATTATTATTTTTTAATCATAAACCCGGCCCATGTCCATCATAGGTCGACCAACCTTAGGAGGGAGGCCATATTGGCAAGATTGTGATGTCTTAGCATGTTGATTTATAAAAAAATAAAATTTTAAACTGATTATTCGTATTGACAGATATATAGGTACAGCAGTAGAGGTAAAAACTAAAAAATCCGACGCGTAATCTATAGGAGAGCCGCCATAATTGAAGAAAGCCTGCCATAATGGGATATTTACGCAGAGCAAAGAATTAGCGAAATTTTTCTAGAACTTAGCATCGTGATAGATTGTGATCATGATGACAAGGAAAATGTTGACGGATTCATGGCCAATAAAGTACTCGTCATTATGGGAAACTACTGACGTCATCGGTAATCCCATATGAAAATCCAGCATGTGTTGATTTGGTTATGAAGGGTGTTGAAACTGTGCTGGCATTGGTGTGGTAAAAGTGTTGGAGGATGCTTAAAACCAACACCTTTTCAGCTCACTTCATAACTAAATCAACACGTGCTGAAGGGTGCTGGATTTTCATAAGGGAGGGAATGAAGAAGTAAGTTTGAAGCTGAGCCTAGACTGAAAGTGAACTAAGTCGAGGGGAGTTCAGTCAATATGAGAAAACCGTGGGCCTATACACATTAAAGGTGTGTGTGTGTGTTATGCTGCATGCTTCCCGAGGTACAGCCCGGAAATGAAAGATGTACGAGCGCCAGAGACCCAGCATTTCTAAGGGCGGTTTCTATGAGAACAGTCTTTTCTGAAGCCCGAATTACAATGTAACATTCGGAATTTCTGAGAGAATTAAATTCCCCTCCTAAGCCCCACATTCGGCCGTTATGGAGATTTGAGTGCGAAGATTCCCGCACGGCAATTTTGATTACAAACATTGTCTACTCCCCATTCAGTGGATGATAAGCATCTGGGTGAGGAAAACTTAAGATTGGAGGATAGGTGAGCCTTGTGAGAATAATTTTATGTTCATGCAGCCAAAAACGAAATCAGTGGAACTAAGAAAGTGCTTAAAGTTACTGTTCGAGACAGTACAGTTCTTCAGTGTATTCAATATGATGTACCTTTTGATTTCCACATCGTGTTCTGCGTAGGATTCACTGAAGTGGATATTTTTCGCATGAGCGATAAGCTGAACAATAGAAATGAGGTAACCCACCAGCTATCGTATCTACAAAAGTTATGCAAGGTACTTCACTGACATTTATCTCTAGTACTTCTTCTAAGGGTCTCTAACAACGACGCAATGATCCATTTTATATGAATGCTGCCGATCTCTGTATGCAATAGACATTATAATTAATTTATCCCCAAGGTAAAGATCAATTGGAGATCTATTAAAACGAAGTTATATATATTTCATGATGAGGAGGAGGTACTTGTTAATCTTAAGAGTTCTATGGCACATTGAGGTAATTTTTTTTCAAACGTTATGCGAATGGGGTAACAGTGGCTTTGTAGCGTTACTAAAACATTACCTAAGTCACGCGTTGCACAAGCAATAACAATTCCTTCCTCTTCGGCCTGTTAATGTGGCTCTTCTCAACCTTTTCTTGAGACCAATGTTCTTACTAGAAATATCAGTGAGCCCTCACATTTATTCCTAAGGTTGGGTAGGTTGAAGTGACAATATCTCAGTATTACAGCTATTACAATATCTCAGTATTAAGAAACTTGCAGCAGGCAGATGAGTCACTTTGGATTGCTGGGTCAATTTTGATCAGTCGATTTTGGTTAACTGGGGTCACGCTAGGATGATTAAGGCTCGACTTCGGGTGACTTGGACCATATTCTATCAGGTAGGGTTTTAAAGAGTCCATGGAGGAAGTAATCCATGCACTATAGCCCTAGGGTTTCTGACTTAGAACACCCTGTATAGATTTTCGCTGCAGGGAGATATAGGATGGTAATATTGCTCCTTAAAGCTCCTGGGGATCTCTCTGCTGTACAGCGATACCACGACCCAAGTAACATACTTCCTTGGCGCCAATTATTGATCATTATCGACGCGAGCGACATCGTTGCGGTGGCGGCATCCGACATCAATAGCATTTACTTGCATCTTGTATTTCGGATGGTTGGCTCCTGCTCGTAGGTTGTTCCGTAGAGCCGCTGCCTGATGCCATCCAGAAGCAATATTGATTTTCAAGCAGGATGACATATAAAATATAGTAGCAAAAGCCGCCAAATACTATATTGTTTTTGGCGGGAGTTGCAGTTCTTTTCTATTTGTTTGCAAGGTGTTGGATTGCTCACGGACCGCATAATGATGAAAGGAAAAATGGTTATCAAAGTGAGCGATTTTTGTAACCTTACTATTGGTATGGTAGAACTTTAGTTTGTTCAGATTATCTCGTGTTTGTGCTACTTCATGGGTTGCGCGTTTCAATATAGAAGGAAGAAATATGATTGTCGCCTTTTGCGATACGCAGAAAGCAGCAGTAACTTTTTGTCTTCAATTATTGTTAGGTGAGATTTTCGCGCACCGGTACATTGAATCACTGCTTTGTTGTCTTTCTGATCATTTTCGGCCCCAGAACCCTCGTGCCTCTTTTTTTTTATTACTACGCCGTATCACCTATCGCGATAATTCATGCACAGGGGAACTACTTGAGTTTTCGTATCATTTTCGGAGGATAACCCTCCTTTCCGACCCCATTTTTCTAGCTTTTAGGTTCCACCAATCAGTATACGATCTAATCATATTTAAAAAGTATATAAGCTGTTGTTAGACTGTTTCAGCCCGTTATAACACAAGCTTCACCTTGCATTGTGTAAGCTTCTCAAAACTGCAAGAAATTTGCAAGCCCGTCGACATGGTCTCTGACCCTCTGTAGGGTTGCAAGAACCTACCGTCTTGTCCTTTCATGTGCTTAGAGAAGGACTGTGCAGTCAGAAAATATGTAATAGAAAATATCAATGACATGTTAATCTTGAGTAACAAATCCAAATGTGACTTACTAAAAATTGCGCTGCCACAATCCCATTTTTGTTCGACAATTTTTGAAGTCAACTGACCATTTCCTTAAGTGGCTGTCTTTCTACCTTTAAACCAAATATCAAAGCAACATACGTTATTTCTCTACAGGGGCTGTACGCAGATGCTTGTGTCTCGGTTATTAAGCCTCATCCATATTCCTGTTAAGAGGCTTAGTGGGGAGGACCTTGGCCCCCGGTCACACATTGCCATGCCACTGCCTGCAACTTTCGCAGGTTTGAATTGTTACGCAAAGATTTCGTTACGTGCCCCCCCCCCCCCCCCCCCCCCCCCCCCCCCCCCCTAGCTTGTGTTTTTGGCCCCCCCCCCCCCCCCCCAGATTCGTCATCGTCTTGTAGGTTACAGCGAAACCATTTGCTACCATTCCCAATTATGCCAAAAAACATAATGGACTTCAGGGCTTCCGTAACGCAACCGAAAGCTTTTTCCGTAGCCTTGCCTGAAGAGTACCTTGCGAGCAAAATCGGCTACAATCTGTCAAGGTGATTTTCAGATCTAATTTTTTTTTTGGTGGGGGATCAATGGGGTTTCAGCAACTGAGTTGATGCATCCTCGTCATTCTTCACTCGAGAAGACTACAGTAGATATGATGAGCGATGGACTCGAAATAGGAGTGTAGGCACATCCTTGTGCCTCTAAGTCTCCTTTTCAAAGAACTTCAAAGTTTCGACTTTTTTGGTCAAACCACACGTTCCTTTCCATTCACGTACGAGTTCCATTGCAGGTTATATAGTCTATCCGGCCCAACTTTGCCACACTTTTAAGCCTCAAAGGAGTCGTTAAAAGCCATCCCTATTCCTCTCCCCTGAGAGGAGAGGGTGATTTCCCTTTGACTCCTCCGCCAGACACTGGCGCGATTCTCCTGGGGGTGGGACATCACGTATGAATGATTTTAGGAACCTTGATAAGAAGATACCTGACGAGTGCCAAGAACGCCTAGGTCCGCTAATGATAGCCTCGAGCCCCTTTCCGACGTTTTGACAGGCTGAGGACAGCACGAAACTAATGAGCTACCATAAAATAGGCAACGCTGGCGTTGCAACGTTGGACCGGGTAGACTATAAACAGGAAATCTTCGTTCATTGTCGACTGAGGTGAGCTTATTTGTGTGTTTTAGTGGACTGGACAGCTCGTCGTGCGTGCAGTGCATCAGTCTTTTGGAGACATTGGCGAGGGAAGGAAGGACGATCATCTGTACAATCCATCAGCCAAGTGCCAGGGTCCTTGAAATGTTCTCTCAACTCATTCTATTGGCGGACGGCAAATGCTTCTATTCCGGTTCTGTGAAATCCCTCATCCCCTACTTGGGGGAAACCCACGGCCTTCAGTGCCCCTCCTATCACAATCCTGCTGACTACGGTTAGTCTGCCCTCATCACTTCCCGATATTGGACGGGAATATCTCCCCCCCCCCCCCCAAGACTAATTTTTAGCTTGAACCCTTCTGCCAAAATGAAAACGATGAAAACTGAGGCTCGACTTCAACGAGTAAAAAAGTCGTCTGAAAGGAGAGGATTGCAACAGTTCAGTCCAGATCACAACCTCTGGCGCCTTTACTTCTCGCAGAGGATGCGTTGCTGCACCGTCCTCACTTAAAGTATTCCGCTGTACGACATCGATGATATAAGGCATGTTGGTTGTTTCTGGCGTTGTAGGCTCAACGTCTCCCAGTCTGTGCGGGCGCAGGACCGCTCGTTGCATATACGATGGGCGATACGGTTAACCCTCAGTAATTGATCCAATGGGGCCTGTATGAGGCTAGGACCCTACACGCCTCTGGTGTACTCAGTACGAAGTCGAAAGAAGTAGATGTATGCATACTAATGCTGCGTTTAGGAAGCACCTGCTGATTTCTGGAGTTTCTGGTCGTAGAAGCTTTACTTCAGTGAATGCAACGTATTATGCCCCTGCTGATCCCATTTCAGGTCATCTTGTAGTTAATTTCTAGAGGATGAGTCAAGTTGCTTTACATTATCTCCGGAAGTTTCAGCAAGTTCTTGTGTCTTTGAAGCATTTAGGACACCGAAAGAATGAGGACAAGAAAAATAATGAAAAAATGTAGTTGTAAGTTAGTCGGAGAGCTCTGGCCTAGGGGTGGCAAAGCACTTAGAAATCGCCATTTTCGAAGATTCAAGGAAAGAAATATGAGACGTTGTTGGAGGTGGTAAGATAATTGCGATGGGTTTTCTTTTAAAAGAAATGTAAAAATGGTAATTATAGTTGTATCTGGAAGCCTTAGCATATAAAATTATTGCTAAGGGATATTCATTGAAAGAGGTCACAATAATTGGGTGTAGCGTTGATTCTATTGAACCCGATGTAATGTAATGCGCGTCGTTGTGTCGAGTCCAGGACTCATACAAGGACATCTTCCTTATTTCTTCATAGTTTCCTCAGACGAGGATGTTTTGTGCAGCAGTACAGTGTATTCATGGGAAGATGACTGTTGCATAAGGGTGGACAGAGAGATTTTCCCGTTCTAACTAAGGAAACCAGTGGCCTGAAAAACAGTAGAAGAGAGCAGAGACTCGATTCTCTTCCAATCAAAACTTTAAGTCAACCCACAGTAAACTGCAGGTGAAAAAAAGGAGACATGGACAAGGTTTCGAACTGCATGCTCTCGTCCTTTCACATGAGACACATCACATGAGTTGAAACCTCCTTTCGTTAAAGGTCTTTTAAGAATACATGGATTCCTATGGGGGGAAAAGAGCTTAAAGCAGAACTTAAAGGCCCCTTTATTTTCCCCTAAATGTAGTTTGTGCATTCGGGTCTGGGTCTCTAATGGACAGTAATTGAAGTCCATGTCCCCTGCTTTTTTTCTTCACGGTCAGTTTTTCCATGCCTCTTTTCCTTGACCAAGTGGGTGGAAGATTCATGTCGGACCCAATTCGATTTTGTGAAGCCAATAGCTTCTGAGAACCAGAAAACCAGGGTCACGTCTCTCGAGAGAAGGAACTTACTAGTTGCAAGTACTGGTTGACTGTGCGCAAAGATGTATGTACCCTTTTTTAACGGCAGTGATGGAGCTGGCAGTGGGTGAGCATGGAGAGGAGCCCCTGGAGCGACTGGTTCAGGCAACTAGGGATGGCAAGTGTCGCGAATACGATCTGGAATACAACAAGGACTTCTTCCGTACTAGCAGCCGGCTCAATCAACAAAACAACGGGGGGATTTCGAGAGATAACTCCTCGCTGCCCGTCTCTAATGACGTAGTTCCAGGTAAGGGCCTGCGGCTGTTGCGGTTTCTACTGCGAGATCGCGAGGATTCTTCCTGTGGTAGGACTTTATGTCGGCCTTTGTACACGGTAGAAGATTCCATCGAATTTCTCGTTGAACATCCAAAATTGGACGTCACGTTGGATTCAGACGGAAAGCAAGCGACGATTTATTTGGGAATATCCCTGGTTTGCTGGAACCCTTGATGTGTTGATGGGCCAGGGCCAGGAGGAGAAGGTGAGAAGAAGCAGAACGGGGAGACGAAGGTATGCGTGGAAGAGAGTCTCTTGGGGGAGAAGCCTGGAGTGGAGGAAGAGGGGAACGAGCATGTGCCCAGCTTCGCCGTATCCTTTTGGACTCAAGTCCGCATTCTCTTCTACAGATCTCTTCTCTCCACCGTCCGCGACACGGTCAGTCGCTTTCTCGCCAAGTGCATGCCTTCGTCGCCTTAGACGTTGCAAAGGTGTCAAAGTTGCAGTCAAGGTTATTTGGCTCGTGATACATGATTGATTGCATTTAAGACTTGCATTTCTTACTAACAGCAGGAAAATTATTTCTCTCCTCTTTACAGAGCACTATTGAGAAGTCCAATGAATTTGCTTTGTTGGGTTGAATCAGCACCTGTAGAATTCTCAGTAGTTGTAGTGTTACGCATGACCATAGTAATATCAGGTCCCCAAAAATGTTTTTTCGTTTTTATTACGTTACCACTTTGAACAAGTTTTGTAGGTTTACGCACAGGCGGCGCTTGGTTTCACCTATGAAAGAGCATGAATAGACCTACCAACTTGCGTATAGTAAATGAACAAATCAGTCTATGTAGAAGTGAGACGTGAGCGAGACCATGCCGGCCACTTTAAAAGTTATTCGCGCATGTTTGTTGTACGACTTCAAACTCGGTAAGAAAGCGACGCAGGCTGCTCGGAACATTCACAAGGCATTTGGAGAGAACGCGGTGAGTGAGCGTACAGCACAAAATTGGTTTAAGAAATTTTCTTCTGGTGATGAAACACAAAGATGAACCCCTATCTGGAAGGAGATCCATCATTAATGATGCTTAGCTGAAAGCACTGATCGAGTCGGACCCAAGTCAAACTTGTCAACAGCTCGCACAGACACTTTGCGTCTGCGAGGAAACTGTTAGATTGCACCTGCATAGCATTAGGAAGGTCCGCAAGCTCAGGAAATGGGTTCCACATGATTTGACTGCAGAGAAGAAACTCAACCGACTTCAGAACTGCTCATGTCTGATTTCACGTCATAAAAGCGAACCATTTCTGGACCGACTTTTAGCGTGTGATGAAAAACGGGTTATGTACAGCAACACTAAACGATCGTACCGATGGCTATCGCCCAACGAGAGTACACCACACATGTCAAAGCCAAACCTGCACCAACGGAAGATTTTCCTTTGTGTATGGTGGACAACAGTCAGCGTCTTGCACTGAGCTCCTAAACCCTGGCCAAACGATCACCGCAGATGCCTACTCGGCGCAACTGCAACGGGTTCTGGACAAGTTGCTCGAAAAGCATCCGTCGTTGGTCGATCGGAAAGGTGTTGTGTTCCTCCAAGACAACGCGCGCCCTCATAAGGCAAAAGTGACGCGAGAAAAATTCAACACCCTTGGTTGGGAGATTCTGCTACATCCACCCCATTCGCCTGACATTTCCCCTTCCGACTACCACCGTTTTCTTTCGCTGGACAACCACATGCGGAACCGGCAATTGAAAACACAAGCGGACCTCGAAAAGGGATTAACGTCTTTCTTCGCAAAGACCAAAATTTCTTCCGTCGCGGCATTTACAATATTGTTTCTCGTTGGAAAAACGTTGTAGATTGTAACGGGAATTACTTTACCGAATAAATTGTACTAAGTTTTTGTGTTTGGTCCAAATTCAACGCAAAAAAATGAAAATACTTTTTTGGGGACCTGATAGTTTAGCCCTTGTCATGAATCCTGACCAGCTTCAATCTTCGTTTGCTGTAAACGATTCAATATCCAGAATAGTTCATGTAGGATGTCCAGGGGCCCGTTCCTCGCCTGTGCTAAACTTAAATCTAAATCTAAATCTTAGGTTAAGTCTTAGTCTAAAGGGTCAGGGCGAAGAATTGACTTTTTGCTTTTAGACTGCTTTTAGATTTAGAGTTAGATTTAGATTTAAGTTCAGCACAGGCGAGGAACAGGCCCCTGGTATATTGTTCACAGTGAGAGTTGCTGTAAAAGCACTAGTTTGAATTCTGGATTCCATTGAAGGCCGAATGTTCTTCTTATATTCTTATATTATTATCATTAGTCAACCCTTGGAAACTAATTCCTTTGAGACGCTGTCCAACAGTGTTAGGAGAATGAAAATGTTCTGCAATCTGTGTGCATTCAGGTGCTGATGAACGTGAGAATAGCATGTCACATAGGGGTGGGTCTCCTTATCGGAATGATGTACTTCGACCTGGGTGACGATGCAACCAAGGTGTACAACAATGCGGGCGCGCTCTTCTTCAACATCATCTTCCTCATGTTCACGGCCATGATGCCTACTATCCTCACATGTAGGCCCGCATTTTCTTGCCTAGTTTGAATTTCATTATTCTCACTGTTTTTCATTCGTTTCGACGCTAAATGTTCCTAGTTCCCCTGGAGATGCCGGTGTTGATTCGAGAGACTCTGAATTCATGGTACAGTCTCAAAGCCTACTATCTTGCCAAAACAATCTCTGACTTCCCCTTTCAGGCAAGTTATTCTGTCCCCTCTTACTTAATTCACTCATTGTTATGTATTTGTCGTATGTAAGTTGACCTTTACGTGCAAGTTGAACATGCATAAAATATACCGTGCAACGTGCGCCTAGCCTTAGGAAAACGGTAAGGGAGGTGTATTCATCCTTTCGCATTCACTGACAGCCTTATTCTCTCACCTTGTTCAGTACGATACAAGTGCGAGTGAACGTTCTCGTTCTTCAACAGCTCTAGTGGTTTTCGTCTGATTAATCCTCCTTCAAATCTGTCATAATGGGCACGAAATGATTATCTGTTGGAGCTCTAGGAGAAGACCAAGTCTCCCAACAACACAGTGTTCCCGAAAGATAGGTACGAGAGGCTTGTCGCGGAGGTCAAGGCTACAAAGATCAATGAGAAGAAAGCCCGGCTAGAGCACGGGAAGACCATCCTCAAGCACTAGGACGTCCTAGCCTTCGAGGGATGAAGAGGAGCTTGTGAGAAAAGCGAACGATCAGTGGCGTATTTTAGCTGAAGGGTCAGGGGTAAGGGGGGGGGGGGCCGCCAAACCCCACCCGAACGATATCGGGGGCAAAAATTATTACCTCCAAGGGGGCGCCAGGGAGGCAGCTGCCTCTCCCCTTAAAATACGCCACTGCGAACGATGCATCTAAAACAAAACAAACAAAAGGTGCAAGTGCGTAGCCAATAATGCCCAGTGCAACTCTCGATGCCACAGGTCACGGACGTGTTCCAACAAATGAATCAAAAGGGTGTGCTTAGCAGAAAGGCTTGAATGCAGACATTGACAAAGTTGTTGCAGATTCTTTAATCATGGACAATTTGACATCATGAAGCAGTTACTTCATTTATTCATTAGGGTGATCAAATAATTCATATCATGGTGTTTGACACGCTGGCTCGAAAATAATGCAAGTGCCGGTGGCCGAAGGCATACGATAATTATTCTGGCAGAGATGAAGTGCTTCTCTGAACTTGCACGAAAGTGTGCAATCCGGGTTAACATGAACAAGGGTTTGCTCATGCAAGTTCAACCTGCACGCAGTGGTGGACTGTTCAAGTTAACCCACGACGATTTGACCGTACAGGTTACTTACTTACTTACTCAACTTACACGATGAATTACCATGCAAGTTTAACTTGCACGGTGGGGTCAACTGCATGCGACATATTCATAGTTGAGATTCTTATCCAGGTAGACTTTCATCTACCAAAATAATTTTGATGGTACACATCGTTGAAATGGATGTAAAAGTATCACTGTTCAGCAGGAGTGTGTCAAAATTTCTCTCCTATCCATGGAACATTGCGGCATGCATGTTTCAGTGCATCAGGGCCGCATCTCAACTATCTTGATTTTATTACGAAAAGGGTTTTCACGCAAAACCAGATTGTTACAGAAAACTTGAGGAATCCAATTTCTCGCCCCGGAACGCTTTTACTTCCGCTCCGGGGTTAATTATTCAACTTTATTTTGCGTTCCCGATCAATACAGGATAGAGTAGAGTCCCAATTCCGCTCATGAAGTCTCACTTTCGCGCGCGGGAGGAAAATGAGACTCCCAGCTTACACAGATATGCTTGAACGTGTGGTTTCACTGGGGCGATAATACAAGAATGAAGGGAGGGTACTGAAGTGTGTAGGCGTGCACGGGGAAGGTGAAACCTCCCCAACCTCGCCTGACGTCGAAATAACTGTAGCTGACTATTGCACTTATTTTCACGCACTTCCTCATAGACCTAGGCCTATAGATTCGGATGTCGGCGCATGGCGAAGCTGGCGCAGGATTGAGTGAACGACGTTGAGCTGTGCGCAAGATGTAATATGCTCTGTTAGGCTGGGTTAAGCCTGGGCTATGTCTATTTTGACCATTGGACCTTCAGTTTTGCATTGAATGGTTACTTTAGCATTCTCCACAATTTTATTTAAGTGTAATGCACTGTTTCGAGTTTCAAGAATCTTTCCATGAATTCGGATGCAAAAATCCCGAGAAGTTTAAATACTTGTGATTGAGCAGGTATTCGTTTAGTTTCCCTTCGAGAAAATGGGATGGTCTGCATCGTCAGAAATGAATTCGTATCGATCCATGCCTAGTTTCAGTTTGGAGCTCTGAGAAATGAGAATTCAGTATTCTAAGTGACAACTGAATGACAATATCTGAGTGAAATCACAAATTTGATTTATGGAATGATATGGTAAAATGTGAGGTCATGGAATTCTCAGACTTCAAATTGGGGAACCTGCTTGCGGACATTGCGAACGAGTGGAAATGGGTGGGGTGAACAGGTCGCTCTTATCCGCCTTGAATTGGATCGAGTCGGGCTCATGCCTGCCACACTGAACGGAAATGGTATACAATTACCTAGATTAGGTGCTGCTCTAGATTGATCTGCACATTCTTCCAGCCCTCGGATATCCACAAGTATACCTGACACAGAGGGTCTGGTAGTTGGACCGGAATTTTAGGCCTCAATCACCTATCAATAGTGTGATCATTTCGTTGGACTTGCGGGGCCTTGTAATGAATAGCAGGGTAAAGCGTGCGGCTGAACCGCAGAAAGGTCGCTACCTAATGGTTACCAAGTTCCAGATATAAGCAAACTTCAGAACTAGACGTGGAGCCTTACGCGTCGCAAAACGGGCGAAATGGGAATCCCTGCGCAATGAGGAAACTCGTAATACATTGGCTAGGGTGATCAGCGAAAAGTATTCCCATCCATCTACCTCGCCCCTCTTTTGACGTAGGCTCGTAGATCCTATTCGGTATCTATCGTTTTGGGTGCAGCAGTGAGAGAGTGCAACAGAAAACGTATCAGGGCTGTTCTCTGTAAGATCAAGCGCGCTCTTTGGTGAACCTCGGGTACATCAGGCAGTTGCTGCCAAGAAGACAGCCTATAGGGCGTATCCTTATTCATGATCAGTTTACGGCTCATTATGTCAGGCAAATTATCTAAATGGAGGATGTATCAACGTGTTCTGTTTTGTTCATGCAGATTACCTTCACCCTCCTCTACTTGGTGATCGTTTACTTCATGACTTCTCAGCCGTTCTCGACGTATCGATTCGTGATGTACTGCGTCATGAGTGCGTACGTGTCCCTTATCTCACAGACCATGGGACTCATCATTGGTGCCATTTTCAAAATTCAGGTAAGTCCAGTTCCTGTCCCTGACTCGAGATCTAAGATGTTCAGGGCAAGTGAGTGGCTCTTGTTGGCTCAAAAGCTTGGTTCATGTGGCTGGTGACACAGGGTCAATAGCAGGTAAGGCATTTCTCTCCGCATGATAACTGGTATATTTGAGGAGGGAGGCCCTTGTGCTCATGACTTTCCCTTCCTAGATGTGGAATATCAAGTAAATCCCATAAATGAAAGCTGAACCCAGGGGGCATATCCCGAGTTGGGCCAAATTGGGTCTCCCTTAAATCTTAAAGACTTGAATGTTAGATGAGGTCAAAATGTGAGAGGAGGTGGGGAGTAGATGAGGGCAAGGTTTTCTGGAATTTCTAGAACGAGGAGTGGGGGGGTTTCATGAGCCTTGAGCCCATAATACCTGGTAGTTGAAGGGCTGAAAGGTAAAGTGGCATGTCTGCAAAAATTATTTCCTCCAGCTCCACACGGAAAGAGTGAATATTCCAGTAACCGTCTCGTTAAAAGTGAGGAAAAGTGGTACGTATCAATAGATCAGTTCATCTTTTACATAATTCCAAAAAAAAACTATAATTTACTATGAAAGGAACAAGGTTCTATTAACATTAAACCAACTATACTTTTGGATTTTTTTTTTCCTGGTAGACCACTTTACCTTTCAGCTCTTCAAATCGTATCGTGTCTTGTCTTAGTGACGTTAATAATGTGAATCATCTGAACATGAAATATGTCCATATTTGGAATTTCAGACGGCTGTATTCCTGGGCCCGGTGTGCTCGGTCCCGTTGCTCCTTTTCTCCGGGTTTTTCCTCAGCGTAGATGCAATGCCAAAGTACCTGTCGTGGCTTTCGTATCTCTCGTTCATGAAATACACATACGAGGGGACCATGTTCTGCATCTATAGCTTCGATCGGGATGACCTCTCGTGTAAAGATCCGTATTGTCACTTCAAGGACCCAAAGAAGTTTCTCGCTCAGATGGACCTCAATCACAACGTCTTCTGGAGTGACTTCTGGATCCTTCTCGGCTTTATGTTCGCCTTCCGACTTGCCTGCTACTTCCTACTTCGGTGGAGACTCCTCATGCTTCGCTAGTGCCTGCCTGCCTAGATCTGGTCCTTCTCCAGCAAGGGTGTCATCGTGTGATCGTGATATTCAAGACAGAAGCCAGCTCTGGTTTTAGCCGTCCTCTCGTTATACGAGCCCTGGCTTCAGCCCGCCCGGTGACGATGTCAGTTATTTTATCTCATTGCACAAAGTAATGTGAACCCGAGAACCAAAAAGGAGTCTGTGTTCATCTTCATCGGTAATCAAGACAATGTCAAGACCAGGACTTAACCAGGCACCTTTTCTACAGTCTGTGATGCTCTTCAGCTTCAACCTGGTCCATCGTTCTTATTGTCTGTTTTTAGTTCTCTGTTGAGGGATAATGCTCTTGCCCAGTAGAGCCCATACAATGAAGAGTTGCTTTCCATGTGAGAAGGCAAAGCACGGGGCTGTGATATGCCGTTATTGGGGGAAAAAAAGAATGAGCGCTCTCTCTCTCTCTCTCTCTCCTTCACTCTTTGCTTGTCTCACGGAATATTTTTCTATAATATCCTGTTCTTGCGCCTAGTTTATGTTACATCCTTGGATCTGGATGGATTTATAAAGGTGGATATATTGACACATGATATTTTGTCTCCCATTGACTAAAGAATGAAAGAATTGCCTACTCGCAAATTCTCTCGTTGGGTCATTTTATTGAAATAGACGGTGGTCAGTGTTTACTGGCCGAGGCATCAGTCACATGAGGAAGACTCAGAGTCCTTTATGATTCAATGTGCTGGACGTATGCATATTCATACCCATGGGAATCGGAGAAGGAGTGAATGTTGTCCGTGAGAATCTTCAAGCTGAGCAGCTACTTCGTCGTATGGAGGGATCTCAAGCCCGGTCGTTCGGACGCGTCTCCCGAATACCCCTGAGACCCCCAAAGAGTTTCTCAGTCCAAAATGACCGACAGAAGACCAGTCGGTCGGTTTCGAGGGTGGAACGACTAAATTGCGAGGCTTTGTCACGAGCGGCAATGAAAATGAATGAGTGACGCGAAGCAGCGTGGCAAGGCAAGGACGACACTATCTCGTGTGTGAAAACTGGAGAGTAGAGAGACTCAGTCCTTCGCTCGAAAAGGTTCGTTTGAGAAGCAAATATTCGTAAATGCGGAGCGACGGAGAAAGTGGTTGGTCTGCCTGCAAACTCTGGGTGCTTGCGTCGAGCAAACATGGGTGAAGGAATTCGAGCTGGATCGCAGAAAGACTGTTTCGTCCAGCTGCGCAGGAGTTCACGTGCGGGATATGCAACCGTTTGTCAGAATAGAATGAAGAGAAATTATTCGTTTTCACATCGCACGCCCGAGTTCCCTTCGTGGAAGTCGAGGGAGAGGATCCAAGGGACGTCGAGAGACCTTTTTCTTGCCCCCTATAAAGAATACGACGTGACGGTGGAAAAAAATGTTTTAATAATAGCATTACTTCTTTAAGAAGGATTCGTTCCTGTAATCAGTAATTTGTATGCCGTCTAACTGATCGCCTTACAGCTCTCAATCTGTTGCGTTATGATTTCAAAAGGTTTTCAAACAAATAAGCACCAGTTTTCATATCATTTGGCACAAAAAAGCTGATGGGTCATCGATGCATCTTCGTTGAAACGATTGCCAGGAGCCTCCTGCATCATCAGGCTTTCCACTCATCTTTCCATCTTTCATCACAGCTCCAAGATGCTCAGACGCATTCGGATCTGGGGATTCCTCTGGCCACTACGCGTTGCTGAAGAACTTCACATTATTCTGAACCGGCAAGTCTCAGGTGGTCAAAGCTCGGATGCACTTTGTCGTGGAAGAAAGTCACTCAAGTGACTTTCCTCCACGGTCCACGATGGGTCCAGCAAATGGGATGGATCCTTCAAAAAAATGGCATTTCGCATGGATGGCATTTGGATGGCAAAATGGATGGCATTTCGTGAAAGGATCTCACGACGGAAGTATTCCTCATCCCAGCCCCGACCGATTGGCTTGACGACAAACGAGAGATTCTTCTCTGTGAAACGCGAGACCCCCCATCACTGCATTCGGGCTATTTTGGAACATCACGCTGCTTGTCTTTTTCGTGAATTTAATCGATTTTTTTGCCGAAATTTGGTCCTTCTGATGATAGTCGTAACACATAAAGAAAAAATCAATCTGAGGAAGCCAAATGCGAGTACTCTTCAGTCCACGACCGGAGATAATTGCAAAACCAGAGACGATCTTGGATGCTGAGCTCGGATTTCGTCGGTTTCGGCAAAATGTGGAATGCTCGCATGCCTTCCCCACGACAGAAGTGCCACACGACTTGCTTGCTGACCTTTTCTTCTTCTGATGTTCTTGACGGGAAGAGCCACAACACTGCAGCCCTTATTTTGCTTGGCGCTGGCTTCACTCACGGCGTCTTTCGACTCTCGAGACGGCTTTTCCGGCCGGCTTTCCCCGAACTCTGTAGGACTCTTATCCCAGTTGGCTTGAACCCATCTTTCTGACTTTCCGATCTTTCTTGCTATACAGGCCTTGTTGATAATGTTAGTGCCTGCATCTCGTACCGAGGCACGAGATGCAGGCAGAGGAAGGCGATCGCGCGAATTTTGTCACACACCCTGCTCTGTTTGCTATCACCGAAAGTTCCAGCTGTAACTCTCAGAGATCTTAAATTAGAGACGTAAATCCTCCATTAAACACAGAATTTAAAGTTATTACTCTCTTAGCTGTACATGTCCAGGTTCAAAGGCGAGGGACGGAAGCACACGGGTTTTTTGACGCCCGGTAAATTACCTATAGTAACTACGGTCACAGAAAGGGGTGCCAGGAACCAGTGGAGTACATAAAGTTTCAAGTGATACTGGACAACCTCGGAAGATAGTATTCACCGCCACCCACCCCTTACTACACACACGAGCTAGTCTAGACATCCGTGTGGGGTGTTGAACATTGGCGAGGATGGAATAAGATCGAGGGATGGGGTTCAGAAAAAATACGAATTATTTATGATTAGGTAGTCTGCTACTAATATGCAGAAGCTTCAATAAAATTGCGGAACAAATGATACTGAGGCGGAAATAAGGAACATTACCGTTAAGTATGAGTTTATGGATCAATGAAGGGGGCAAAAATGAGGATAAAATGGTCACTCTAATCTTGGATCTCCATCCACATAGGGCCGAGGCAAGCCAAGTCCACTGTTTGGACTTCTGAATACTTTCAACGAAGAATCGTTCCAGCAGTTTTGAAGGTTCAACTCCCCGCTCTTGGTAACAGTAACAGGAGGGGGTTCGGATAATACGAGGGTCAGTCAATAAGTTCTGAGACTCCCTCATCATAAAGTGAATAAAGTCAGCTTGGCTAATGCTTCTATTGTGATCCTTCAAAGTACTCTCCAAGGCAGTCTACAACTCGTTGCCACCTATGTGGGAGGGCTGGAATGCCTCCATCCAACCCATTTCGTTATATGTCCCTCAACTTCTCAGAAACAGCCAAGTTGACATCCGCCAAGGATTGATAGCGGATGTCACAAAGCGGTTCTTTGAGTTTTGGGAATAGATCGAAGTCTGGGGGAGAGATGTCTGGTGAATAAGAAGGGTGAGCCAGTAATTCCCAGTCCCATTCAGCTAGTTGCGTAACAATAATACGTGCCCTGTGAGGACCAGCGCCATCGTGAAGAAACAGTGGACCTTGCTCGATCAACTCCGGCTGCTTTTGAGCTATAGTCGGCCGCAATCTGTGAATCAGGACCCATCGGTACAGATCGGCGTTAACAGATTCATCAGGTGGTACAACATAATCCACAGAATCTTCTTACGAGGTAGTTCAGAGGGGGTCTCAGATCTTATTGACTGATCCTCGTATAACCTAACCAAAATGAATATATAGGTGTGTAGAGCGAGGAAGGTGCCGTCGTTTCCGATGCACCATTTTGAGGTGAAAAATGAAATTAGCTGCAGGGTTTGAATAACCCTACAGGCTTTTGGTGGGAGCTTCAGTTCCGCCTACCACGGTTGCCGGATATCATGTCGGAGCTTCGTCGGATTGATGAGTGATTCTGCTTTCACATCGATGCGGAATCTTCTGTTCATATGCATGGTACATTTTCGTGCTGGTTTATGAGATTAAGTGAGACCGAAATAGTGGTTAAAATGGGATCAATCTATACCATGCAGTATAGAGGTACCGTGCGAGGACATCCCTGCTGATAATGGCGTCGTTCATTTGAACCTCGGAGGCTGTTTGTCCACAGACATCCGAGTCGAGACGGTTCGAGATACTTGAGATAGGCCTATCATAAGCTTAACGTTACACGTTCTCACAGAAATGGCTGAAAAACCTCGAGATAGATCTGATCCATCATAGGTCCAATCTGCCCCGTGAACGTTAGTTGAGACTTTCGGGCGAAAAATGTAGGCCTAGAGCTGACTCCGTGGGCTAGGCCCAGGCATAGTAAGATTCCATGCCTATTCTGGTTCCTAATTAAGTAGGACTCGAACCCGTCAATAGTGAGCCATTGTTTCCCCAGTCCCTGGTATAACAGCTCGTTTTGAAGTTTACAGCCGATGTCATGGTCATTGATCGACTAGACTATCTATGCCTCTCGCACGCATGACTCGGCTCTCATACAAAAAGTGTATCGCAAAACTCCTTCAAGGAAAAAATATATCCTGTCATCGTTTAAGGCAATGTATTCTCTCTTCAGAATCACTGTCTTCATCATCGCGCATTACTTTGAAACTAACACCCAAATTCTCGTCTACGATAATACCTGCTTGTGCAGTCGTCCGGGGAACGCTGGCCGGCTCCATGGCCGCGAATCGGCCGGTCATCCTCAACCTGCTTCCTCGAATTGCGCGTAACCCCTCGCTCTTTCACCGATCGGGCAGTTTCTTTTCAGTGTCATTGTCCATGTTCACCGTCACACTATGACTTTTCCAACCTCAACAGCATCATCGTCACTCTCACCATCCAGCACCATTTGCATAGTAATTGTGCATCATCATGTGCATACTTCATTGTAATAAGTTAGCCAGGACACTTCCAGCCTGAAGCGCCCACAGGCACACCAAACTCGTTCTAAATGTCAAAACCACAAAGAATTGGGCATCCAAAGCAAAAATAAAATTTTCATTACAACTTTCCGAGACCTACCTGGGCAGGAACAACCCAAGTATTTTCCAATAGACTGACCGGTGCCAGAATGTAAGATAGGCCCACTAGACCTCCTAAGGCATTTACATTCATTTTGTTTTTCTTACTATTCGTTATCCTGCTTTCTCGTCTAGCACTTAGCAGAAGTGATCCCACCATATGGAGATCACGGGCTCAAAGAAGCAAGATGGGCAAGCCCAGTCCAGTAGTGGGCCTACTTTCGTTTAAGGAGACCCTCCTTTTGTCACCTGCTTGAACAAAATGCCGTCTCTTTCCGGCTCTCAACCCAGCAAAAATCTCATTTCTCTGTTGGATTTGGCAAATCTACCAATGGTGCTCAGGAAATGATGATGGGAGGCTAGAGGGTTGTACTTGGCTCGGTCCAAATGCCACGAAGGCTAGTAGAGAATTGACAGCACGTATTGAGGACACGGCGCCGCGACGAAGGCCTGGATCTTACGCGCATGCGCATTGAGGTCCAGATTCTAAAGGGCTCTCGGGAATTCATGGCTTCTCC